CAAATATTTTATATCTTGTTGCTGAATACAGGACTGCCTCCAAACTTTCCTTCTTTGTAACTTGTGGGTGGTCCAGCGGACATTTTTCTCGGTCAGTGCATGACCTAATTAATTTTTATCTCTTAGCATTCTGCCTTGTAGGCCACTTGACCAGTTTGAAATTTTCATTATTTCCATGGGCAGACGGCTAGATTTTATTCGCTCCGCCGTAACATAAATCAAATTAAATCCGACAGATCCGAGGTCTTACTTTCTTCGCTAATGAAAATAAAATCTTTACCACTTTTCTTTATTAGAAAAAAACAACATCGCTCAGTGTCTTTTCGTGATAGCATCTTATCACCTAAATTAATTCTCGCCTTTTTTTTCACGCAACTCTAAATAGTGTCACAATCCTTATTTCAACTTTCTTCAAACAGACAATGTTTTTAATGTTGAAATCGACTTCAATATTTTATAACCTGACACAATGGGTCACCGGTAGTCTAGTTGTTATGAGAAGTAAAGCTGCACTTTAGCCATTAATTAACTTTCCGCCTATAACGATAAAAGATTATTAGAAAAAAAACAGAAAGGTTTCGTTAGAAGCAAGGAAAAGAGTACTGGAATGTTACGTTAATACCAATCCTCCTATATAGCAGATGGATAATTTCTTCGCAGATAAGAGAACTGAATCAACAGAAAGAAAGAAAAGTGTACTGAACTGTTATATGATATCAGTCTTTCTGTATGGCAATGAATGCTGTACAGTCTCCTCACAGATGAAGATGAGACTTGAAGCAACAGAAAGAAAGTAAAAAGAACTGAGATTTTCCGTTATATTAGTTATCCTATAGGTTAGTGAATGCTAGACAATTTCCTCAGAGATGAAGACGAAACATGAAGTAACAGATATGTGGTTCTACAGAAAGATGCTGAACCGCAATGGACCAAAAATATGAGCAACGATGAAGTTTGAATGAAAATTAAAGCAAAAAGGAAACATATCTAACATCAGGAGGGAATTCAAATGTTATGGGCCCATAATGAGAAAAGAGAGTTTGGGAAATCTGATACTCATAGGACAGACTGAAGTCATAAAGGACAGAGGAAAACAAAGTATAAACAACTTAATGATCTTTAGTAAACGGATGGAAGCACAACGAAACAATATTTCAGATATTTTTAAAAAAATTATTTAAAAAAAAATATCTGAAATATTGTTTCTTTAAAGAAAGCTGAAATAAAAATAATTACTGTACAAACAACTGGAATAACGTCAAAGCAGGATCTCTTTGTGGCTGTCTTTAACTTAAAAATATTTTAATTAAGAAATTGTCTGAAGAAAGTTAAAATAAAAATAATTACTGTACAAACAACTGGAATAACGTCAAAGCAGGATCTCTTTGTGGCTGTCTTTAACTTAAAAATATTTTAATTAAGAAATTGTCTGAAGAAAGTTAAAATAAAAATAATTACTGTACAAACAACTGGAATAACGTCAAAGCAGGATCTCTTTGTGGCTGTCTTTAACTTAAAAATATTTTAATTAAGAAATTGTCTGAAGAAAGTTAAAATAAAAATAATTACTGTACAAACAACTGGAATAACGTCAAAGCAGGATCTCTTTGTGGCTGTCTTTAACTTAAAAATATTTTAATTAAGAAATTGTCTGAAGAAAGTTAAAATAAGAATAATTACGGTATAACGAACTCGTAAGTCATGTATGCGTCGGACAGATACACCACACAAGTACGCACGCAATAACTGACTTTCAGTATTGTACCAGACGACTTCTGATCCGTTGGGTCAATCTTGTTGTATTAACTGTTTACATTTAGTTTCATGAAGAGTTTGTGAAAGAGCTATTCTAAAAAATACATTTATTTGCAGTTACTGAAGTTACTTTCAACATTAAATAATTGTCTGTCTGAATAAATTTGAACAATAAGATCTTGGAATGTCAAAATTCTGAATTTTGGGATTCGATACAATAAGAAAATATTGTTGTGGGGCTGCGCGTAATTTGGCCGTTTAAAATATTCAAACGATTTTCATTGAAAGAATAAAATTCAGTACAAAAGACAAAGTAGTTTTAACAAATGAACATTAATTTAATATAATATAATATTAATATTATAATGACAAGAATACAAGCAATTGGTTATAGATTGAAAAGTAATATCTTTGATCTTGGTTAATAAATTCTTAAAATATAAATTCTCTTTGTGTATGTATGTGAGAAACAATGAAATGTGTGTGGGGAAAGTCAGCACGTGTGTGCTTGGTTCATTAAAGAGGATATAAGATATAGAATTTGTTCCTTACTGTGAACGGTGTTGCCGTAGTCTGAAGCGGTCTCTTTGAAGTTTTACAGTGCTGTCGCTTTGAGCATGAGTTCGTGAAGTTCACAAGCGAGAGTGGCGTGGACCTTGGTGACAGTTATGGGTATCCTGTTTGGGGCTGGATTTCGTGTGTTTTATACACTTTCTCGTAAGAAATTCGGTTCCATTCCCCACTTCCTACACGATAATAAATTTACAGCTTTCTTTTTCCCAATTCTTTATATATGACTTATTTATATCTTTCTTTTCCCACTCTCTCTCTCTCTCTCTCTCTCTCTCTCTATATATATATATATATATATATATATATATATATATATATATATATATGACTTCCATCAAACACACAAGATACAAAGTTCACAGATTTTTATATAGTAATAAGATAGATAAATGTCCTACCAAATGCTGGTATCTATTAACTCAAGAAATCAGCAGTAAAATATTCTAACATCAAAGGAAACCAAAATAGATCGAATGAAAAACAAACAATGAATGCTCCGGGTAAAAAGGAAAGAATATTAACTTAAATAAAATAAAAATAAAATATTTGATTTTTTTTTTTATGAGAAGAGGGAAATTTATGGTACTTGTGATTTTTTTCAGTTGTTTTCCAGAAAGCACGAATCAAAACATTTTAAGTTTAAAATTACCGCATACTATTTAAATACAATACGTCCCCATGTTTCTAAAGCTAAAATCAGGGAATAGATTACATCCTTGAGTATAACAAAACACAATAGTACAGCCATCACAAAGTAAATTCTTTTTGAAAAGTTGTACCGCATTGTCTATTAAAATCTTAATGTCGTACATATATTTAACTAAAAATAACCACATTTTCACGATATTAAAGAAGAAAAATGAACCGGATGTTTAGACATTACGTGCTTCTTCTAATTTCCATTTGAAAGGCTATTTTCGATTTTTCAGAGAAAGGTACTAACTAGACATAACAGGTAATACATTTTAAAGTGTTAATTAATCTATCATACTTTTTTGTTTGATATGACTTTATTACACATTAATAAACTATGAAAAAAAACAAAAACAATATCTTTCATTAAGAAAAAAGAGAAACAAATACAGCCATCATATCAAATACAAATTGTAAACAATTCCGATCAGCACACGACTCTTATTTTTTTATTATCTATTGAGGGTATTTCTGAAGACGTGTACTAGTGTATAATACGCCCTCTTTTTGGCGCTTAGTATTCGTTCAAAATCTCTCGTATTTTGCGAGATAAGATAGGGTAATGATCGTAAATTATTAGTTATGTCTTCGTTTAAGTCAGTTATTATTGTAGATATAAAGCACAAGACGCATCACTAGATTATAAAGTTTTCGATGTAATATCGATTTATCTAAAAATGTTCTGTAAGACATAACGCCAGGGAGTAAAAATAACTTTTCCTTGTATTGACCGCTTCTTCTCGCTGAAGCTAACAGTCAATTATCTCTCTCTCTCTCTCTCTCTCTCTATATATATATATATATATATATATATATATATATATATATATATATATATATATATATATATATATATATATATATATATATAATGCAATGCTCTTCAACTAGAATCGAGTTCTCCTAGACACTGGCGTCTTTCACATAGTAAAGAAGTTAAATTTTTCTTTAATAACGATAGCTTGTGTGTAGAATCTCTGACTGATGCCAAATCGGTCGGGTTTCGATCCCGGCTTGAAGCAATCGGTTGTCTAGCCACACTGATGAGCTATGATATAGTGACAAAGTCTGTCTGTGGATGACTATATATATATATATATATATATATATATATATATATATATATATATATATATATAATGTCAGGTCGCTCTGTGGGGCAACCTACCACAATTGGTTCATGCAGCAAATATTAATTAATAATGCAGAGATGCTTCATGAACGTGTCATGGGGGCCTGCAAAACCATTCGACACCGTGTGGGAAAATTTTAAAGGGTCTGCAAAAAAATGATTCGACGGTTACATGCGTGTGTAGTGTACAAGCGGAGGACATTTGGAACATTTGTCATGTTGCTGTTTTAGGGTACAACCAAGGACTTTTGGTCATATATTTATATGGACATTTTGGTATCAGGAACCCGCCCCCAAACTTTGTGAAATTATTTTTACTACTCCCTGTATGTATGAATGATAATGTGGAAAAAGTTTTCGTTTGACACGTTCCGTCCCTTAGGACACACCAAGTCTAATGAAGTCCTAAGGGACGAAACACGTTACATGAAAAAGTTTTCCACTTTTTCATGCATCTTTTCTCCAAAACTCTTCTTGATATATAAAGATTTATCTATCGTTATCCACTCCTACAAATATATATATATATATATATATATATATATATGTGTATATTACACAACAAAATCCCAAATTACCTCATATGTGTGTGTGTGTGTGTCAGAGTGGATCCTGTAGTCAACAGCGTGTTGCGATAGTCAGTTTCATGCTTGAACGAAATCTACAGGCCTAGTCGTCGCTCGCCATTGATTTCAGTGTACACTTTTATATGTGCATACGCTATATCTCTGATATTGAGCAATTTTACCACATACACAGAAAAACATACAGAGACACACACACATATATATGAAAGAGAAAGAGGAGCAGAGAGCAAGTAGGATGTCTGTGTGTGCGATAGAGGATTTTAAGGGAGTGCGTGTGTGTTAAGAGAAGGACGAGGAAGAACACAGATCAAGAAAGGAAAGGAAGGATAGGAAAGAGAGAATAAGGGAAAGTGAAAAGGTGTGGGTGGAGGAGTGATAGAGAGAAAAGGAAATGATGCGCGTGAGCTAAAGAGAGAAAAAGAGGGAGAAGCAAAGTGAGGGTGACGAGGAAGATCGTAACGAAAGAAAGAAAGAGTAAGATAGAAAAAAAAATGAATGATGGGAGAACGGACAGAGAGGAAAGAAAGGATTGTGTGCAATAGCGATGCGAGAAACATTGAGGGAGAGGGAGAGAAAGAGAGAGAGAGAGAGAGAGAGGAATCGGGGGAAAAGGATATAATGTACTTGATAAAAGGGGAGAAAGTGTGAGTGAGAAAATGAATCCGGTAGAAGAATAAAGAGAAGAGGAAGGAAAGTGGTTGAGAGAGGGGAATGAGGAAAAGAATAAAGAAAATAGAGGAAAGAAGAAATAGGTGAACTACAGAGAGAAAGTGTATGTTCTTGGGGGGAGAGGGGAGTCTTGGCGAATTTTGGCTAAGTAACAGTCTAACTCTCTGCTTTCGGGTGGAGAGGAACTCGGACGAGGCTCCGCCGAAGGGCAGAGTCTCGTTCGGGGTGGTTGACTTGCCCCTGAACCCGTTTATGCGGGTTCAAAGAGGGAATATTTTTGGCCGAGCCTACAGGCTCGGAAATCCCACATTAAACCCGGCCTTGTGCTACATGTAACCCTTCTGGGGGTTCGCTATATACCACTTGGAGGAGAGGGGAAAAGTGAGAAGAGAAGAAGTAGAAAAAAAGAAGAAATTTAGAGAGAGAGAGAGAGAGAAAACGACGGCGGACGTAATGAAAAGGAAGAAAAGTGCACGAGAAAAGGAGGGGAGAGAACATGAAAAAAGATGAAGTGAAAGAATAGGAGGGATATAACGAAAACGAAGAGAACTGCATTTGAAAAAGAACAGAAAGAAAAAGAGCAAAGCTGCAGATCTGTAGGCTCCGATCCTTCGATTGGACTTGAATCACTTTGTTATAGGAAAGCACACAACACAGGTAAAAAGGTCTATTTTAAACGAACGAAACAAACTCACACACACAAAAAGAAATGTGATCTCGGAAGCCGACCTTTTCGAAAGAACGGATTTGGTACCCTCGAACTTTTAATCTTCGAATACTGATGTAGGTGCAATTTTAGAGAAGCTGATATATGCAGAAACACAATGTGTTCCAAGGATAGCGAATAGTGATAAAAAAGCAGATTTGTCGGAAATTAAGTAATTTTAAATGACTCCTCTTGATTCCGATCATAAGACGTTGCTAAAACGTTGTGGCCCTTGGCAGTTTTTTTTTAAAAACGTTTCTAAGGCTCTCTTGCCCCTGTTGCGCCATCCATTCCCCCAAAATTCGTCAGATAGGTGACTCTCTGCCTTCCACCGCCTCTTTTGCTCGCTGTCTGTTCTTTGAAGGTCACTTTTTTCAAGCCTTCATTCCTCCTTATGTAGCCATATAGAGAGTGAGAAAGTGCGAAGATTAGAAGGAGAAAAGAGGGAGACAATTAGAGAGGGAGAAAGTGAGAGAGTGATAGAAAATAAAAATAGCGATAAAAAATATACCAGATACGAATTTCATTTTTGAAGGGCTTCCACCCTTGTGCCAATTAATTAAAGCAAAACGAATAATTCCGTTATTATTTCCTTTTTTGTTTTTTTTTTCTAAAGAAACACCCCATAGTGCGCATGTTAATACTTCGTATGGCCATTCCACGATATCTTTCCTTGCAGATTGATCACAGATTCTCGATTGGATTTAAATCAGGATAGTTTTCAGGTCAGTCTATAGTACTTTGATTTATCACTAGTAAGGCTTACATCTTCGTCCGCTTCCTTGGAGTAACGTCCATCGCAGACAATTGAAGTAGGACAACTAATCGACAGTCGAGACAATGCTGTTTGGGCTTGATGAAAATCTGATGCAATCACGGATGACGCAATATTTTTCACTGCCAAACAAATTTTATCATATACCCTGAAAATAGATTCATATTACTGCACACCACGGAAAATGAGCTAATATGAGGAAAAATAGTAAACCTTGCCACTCCAGTGGGTCTAAAACTGACCGTATGGTGAAAGAAAGTAAAGTAAAGCAGTTGTTTCAATTAATTTGCACAATGGTGCACATTGAATGAATCAAATCATTTATAATCGTCAAAATATGTTCACTTCATATCTATTAGAAAAATATTCATTAATTTAAACCTAAATCTTCAACTCAACAAAAATAGAAATATATACAATGATCTTTTTCTAATCGATAGATCAGTTAGATTCGTATTATTCACTTAGGCGAAAGTAACCATAGAAAAGGTATAAATCAAACTCTCCTCCCGCAGCTATGGGTTAAATAATAAGACGTATATAAGTTAATTATTATTATCTCCAAAAAGCTTTTTTACAATCTAAAACTATTTCTGGCTTTAAATAACCTGTAAAAGGTTTATTAACCGTAAAAATGCAAATGATTCAAAAGCAATGGATATATTATGATGTTCGGTTTATTCTTCTTCGATGTACCGCGTCCTTTCAGGTCATGGACGATCACGGCTATCCAAAACGTCCTATCTCTTGTGGCCCTTGGCAGTTTTTTAAACTTTTTCTAAGGCTCACCGCGCCTGATCCGCCATCCATCCCCAAAAGCTCGTCAGGTAGATGACTCGCTGCCTTCCCCTGCCTCTGTTGCCCTCAGTCTGTTCTTTGAAGGTTTATTTTTTTTCAAGTCTTCATTCCTTATTATGTAGACAAGTAATTTCAAATGCCTTATCCTGATTCCGATCATAAGTGTTTTTGTCGACATTTTCTTTATGAATTCCTCGTTGCTAACTCACCTTGTCCATGGAATTCTCAGTATTCTTCTGTAGAACAATTCAAACTAGACAAGGTTTCATTTTCGGTGGGTTATTGTCATTAACAAGCAAAAAAAAAAAGAAGCCCAATATACGAGTTATAACTTGGAGATGACAACATCAAGCAAATAAAGAAGGTTGAATATCCGAGTAGTGTTTTAACAATGGACGTGACATCGAAATGAAATTAGCGGAAGATGCATTCTAAAAGTTAACAAAAATGCTCCAAACAAATTTACGGAATGGTTATACAGTATCTATCTTCTTATATGTTAGCGAATGGGGAGAAAACTGGAGGCAACTGAAAATTGTTCTACAGGTTCTATAGGTTAGATATGAGTTGACAGCTGTTGAATGATGGTAACATAATTATTTTAAACAGACTGTACATGCAGCGAGGCTTTCCCAAATCAAAATGTACATCAATTCGAATTTCGTCTAAGGGATATAGTTAACGTTCAGCTCCAACCAAACAATGCTTCATTTTTGGTCTAATATTTGGAGATAAAATAAAGCAGGAGGAGACAGAGACTTTTTGGGTGCGATAAAGTGGACAGCATCTTTAGTACTTGATTGCATACAGGCTGTGATGGGTAAATTGTCGCCATTTTATATTTTTTATTTCGCGCATGCGCCCTCTATGTTTTTTGATTTTGTCGACTGCACATTATAGTAGGGTCAGTTGGGCACCGTCTGCGATAAAAAGAGCACCATGACGCAGTTGTCTCCGCTAGAAATTTGGAAACGGCGTACTGTACTGTTTACCATTCGCACTGTAAATTTTAATCCGAAAATTTCAGTGTTTGGGTATCCCTCTGAGGACAGTGCAGAGGATTCGGAAAGAGTTGGATGAGTCTAATGGTGATTACGAAGGTCTTTGGAGTGATCACTCGTGGGGGCGACGACGTTACGCTTACTTTTATCTTCCTACATGGACTCAGACTCAACACAGAGGCCTACATCAAATACTTTTTGGGAGGTAGTGCTGCCCTGGGTCAAGGTGGTGCATGAAGACACTATGTCTGGCAAAAGGACTCTATGGCAGACAAGAAAAAGAACCCAGTGATGGCTGTCAGACAATTTCTGCAATTGCATCACCCCTTAAATCAGGCCACCTTACTCCCCAGAGGCAACTTCCTTGATTACTATGTGCCAGGGGAAGTTGAGAGACTAACCAAAAAAACTCCTTGTAACACCAAAGATGAACTGAAGGCAATGATTATTCACCCGCTTAATGAAGGAGACCATCCAGAAGAACTTCAGGAGGCGTCTGGCGATTTTATTGAATAAATCTACTCTTTAGTATTTCAAGATAGATCTGTGTAATTTTGGTAAGGATATCTGTTAAAATGAGATGTCAGTGTTATTTTCATTTTTGCGTTAGTTAGACGGCAGTTTATCCATCGCACCCTTGGGATCTAGAAATTCAATAGACGTTCAAAGCACGGGTCCTTATTGTAAGTGCAAAAGTTGATTATGACTCCAGAAAAGGCGGTTTCAATTCTCTATTGAGTATTTAGACGCAAAAGAAAGAAACTAGAAATGTTCTTATATATAATTTTTTTCCACTTTCGTATGTCATCAGACTAAAGTGATGATTACGTTGACGTGACTACACATGTGCATGAAGAAGAGGGGACGCTGAAATATTAATTTTAAGTTTTTAGGAGACTGTAACATAACGAGATTTTGAACAAGAATAGTTGAACATGAACTAAAAGATGTAGTAAATAGCACATATTGATTAAAGCTATAAAGGAAGGGAAATTGTGGAGAGCCTTGCACGCCCACCTTCTGAAAGTTCACGGCATATAAACAAAGAAATGGATGAAAACACTGGATAAAAAAATAGCTTACAGGTGGACTAAAGGTTGTATACAAGACGCTGAGCGATATTGGGGCTATTTTTAAATGTGTCTTATAGTCTATCAAATACGGTATATACAACAAATATTATTTACAGTCGCTCTCTCACAGACATGCCGTCGTATCCCTCTGTCTTTTCTACAAATACTTTCACGGTAACTTCTCCGACAAGCTACTTTCTCTTAGTCCCAAACTTCATGAATTTAAACGTGCTACTTGGTTGGCATTTCAGTCCCACCCTTTCACTGTCGAAGCGGTTAAAAGTAGCCGTCTCTTCTACTCCAATAGCTTCAAGTCTCTCACTTCCCGTCTGTGGAACTTCCTTCCTCTTACTTGCTTCCCTGGTAGCTATAATCTTCAATTTTTCAAATGTAATGTCAATCTACATCTTCAGATGCCTTGATCCATTCCCCGTTCTTCTGTTAATCCTTTCCTCTATCACTCCTCTTTACTCTTGCTCCCATGATCTGTAACCCCTTGCGTGCTAGTGGCACTCCCGCCTTGCTTGGGGTGAAATGCTTAAAAAAATGTATACGTTTTTGAAGATTATACTCTGCACATTTCATTACTTTTTACCTATCAAGATCGATAGGTTTCTCTCAAGGAGGCTCATTGTCTTGAACGTCTCTTGGTGTTCAAGCTCATTTCAGACCTCAAGTGGAACTCTTATGTACTATCCATCGCTAAAGGCGGTGGGAAAATGGTTGTCTCCCTGTGTGGATCCAGAAATTATCTGACTTCTTCTCTCATGCTCTATCTTTACAAGAGTCAGATTTGAAAAAAAATTAAGCATGTCTCCCATATCTGGACTGGAGCTGCCCAGTCCACACTTGTCGATTGTTGTGGATTCCGAGATGAATTCGGTCTCCGAGGAATGACAAACGCAATAATTAAATATAAGAAATAAAATGTATGTACACAATCATACAAAGAGTAATACTGTTAGTAAGTCGAGGAACGTGGTTAGTAGCAAATACAGATAGATATATACAGTCTCGAAGGTGGACTTCCTTAGAGTCTACGTGCTTGTAACTGACTTCTATAAGAGGTTACCTCACTCTGTCACTGTTCGTATATTCTCTCACTCTCCATATATCCTCTCTCTATCCGACTACTCTCACTGACT